GAATGCCTCACAAAAGTTTGTGCACGACCCATTTCGAAGTATTTCCCCAAATGCTTGCTTTAGCATTTCATAGGTTTCCGTAGCCGTTTTGGCGAGTCTTTGGCAAAATTTGATGCACACTCTTTGTTCATGAAAATCCGCCATTCCGAAATCGCAGGAGGGTCGGTGTAATGCACTACCAAAACGCCTGTAACTAAGAAACAAATGCTAATTCGATGATGCCGGCTGGCACACTGATTCACTATGAATGTAGGCCGCACCCCCTAGCGGCAGAAGCTCGTACTACATCCGGTTCGCCCGCTATTGACACAGTCTTGAAACTTTCCGATCGCACCTCGTACATGTTGCCAAAGTAATATTTTTTTACGTTGTTGCCAGAATAATATTTTTTCAGTTTTCTGACCATATTAAACGCATTAATCTTTACTCCAGTGATTTTTTTTCAAGGGTGGGGGGTATCTTCCACCGCTATTTCACCACTGGGCGGTCATATACGGTCTAGTGCATGAAGCAATCGCGTTAATACTAAGAAATATACGTATTGGCACATTCTTTCGTCTTTAATGTTTTAATTTAAAGTGTTTCTTTGGGAACAGTATGCTATCTCTGCAGTAGTACTGTTAAAACCTCATGTATACCACTAATTAGGTTTGAATTAACAGAACCGTTGTTTTTATAGCATCTCTGAAATTCGTACAAAAAGTAGTATAACTGCAGTATTAAACACTGCACATAGTCTTATATTGATTGTGACCTTCTGTATAAATCGTTACAATCCACCGAATTTTCACTTCTCTTGCGAAAAAGAATTACTCCTTGTTACTTAGTCCGTAGGAAATTTGATTTACGGTAAGGACAGAAATTTTCCTCTTTGGAACTGCGTCAAGACCGGTCATGGGACTTACACAGCCTCCAATCTCTGTGAAAAATTGGTCTTTTTCTCCGGTAATAAGGTAGCCGGAGCGTGAAGCTGACCAGGTTGAGAATGAAGCTTATAACCACCGTTCAGTCAATCATAGTTGATTGTTTTGGCTGTAGAGGGGACTGATTTCGCTGTGGTTCTTGTCTTCACCGCTAGAGTAAATGTCGATGTCTGTATCTGCGTCATCACGGATGTAGCTGTGTGTACTATGTTATTCAAATTGCGTCCTCAAAAAGCATTGAAGAATAAATATCATGCTATTTTATCCGTACATGAAATAATCAGTAACCTAATTATGTTTTCTAATAAAAATTTTGTTCGTTAACCATTGACCGTGTAACGTATTTAGATTTAGTTTTGAACTCGTGGTTAGAAACGTCATTACGCCATTAAGGAAGGCTGCTGCGAAATTAACGTATTCTGAAAAGAGGTGCTTAGCTTCTTGGCATTCTTTTGTGATTTATTTTAATAGGTAAGCACAATACCGTAGTATTATTTACCATATCTTAAAATAGCATAGGTTAAAGTAAACATGTCAAAATCTGTTTAATCAAACTTGTTTCCAAGATGTCAGGGTCGATTTGTCATATGACTCCTTATCGAATGACTTGTGCGTTTGCGTATCTGAATAGATAAACGTTTCCGTTCTTTGTTTGCATAACTTATTTGTGTTGAATCCTATTAATCTTGTTTTATTTTCTACTATTATTCAAGTAAGCCCTTCCTAAATAACCAGAGTTTATTACAGTGGAATAGAATACATTGAAAGCAATCATCAGTTTTGTTTGCAGATTTATCACATGCAAGGAATGAGGCTCAAGTTTGGAGATCACAGGAACGACTGGAAGTGTTGTTTCTGCTGTCATGTAAGGACTGGGACCATATTCTTAGGAATATGGCATCTTGTAAGTATTTGTTATCTCTTACAAAAATGTTGCCTGTTAAGGAGTTAATTTTCACATATAAGTTGTTGGCAAAGAACAGATATTCTGCCACTGTAAGTGAGCTCTTTCAATATAAAGAACTGGCAGTTTTCTCATAAGGAGCATCTGTAGAAGAGTTGTTTGCCTCATGACAGAAATGAACTACCGCAAGATTATGCTCCTGGTTCGAGAGTGATTACATACTGTTAACTCTTTAATTGTTCAGATTTCCTAGTTACCTCATGAACTGCAATAACTTATTTGTTTCATGACCTGGACACTATATAGGAAAGAGCCGAAGGACAGAGTGAAAGGTGGAAATGGTCAGTTTGTAATCTGGTATGCCTTGGTTAGTTTATAGGCATTCAGAAATTGTAATGTATTGCTTCCAGATGATCCATTTACTGGCATTGTCAGTAATAGCAGTGGTGCTTCGTCACTCTGAAATGGTAGATGACTTGATGATGGGCCCTGTATTGCCAACACCTCTGAGTGAGGTGGAGGAACCCGTTGTGGAGATTATAAGTCCAAATCTTGAGCTAAGCCTGGAACCTCAGGATCCTGATGACACCAGGCATCAAACAAGCTTTTCCACAGCCCATGGTTATCGTGACATATTTACCCGCCGCAGTTTGAATCATCGTGAGTCTTATTCTGTTGGTAACCTGAGAGATATCTGTCTTTACCTCTTGAAACAAAAGGTTATGCAAATAATATTTGAGAATTCAGTCCATACCTCAAAGAAAACATATCTCAGTTACAAAGATGAACTGGGTAATGCTGTTTTAAGGAAATAATCACTGTTGATCCTGAGAATTATAGGATAAACATAAATAGAAAATGAAGGAGTATTTATTGTTAAAGCAGGTGGTACATATAGTTAGTGCTGGACTTTAAAGGGTTAGCTCAATGGGTCTGATAGACTTTTTATCTCCTTCTGTACGGAATGAAAGGAATTTATATTGGACGATCACAACATTTGTGCCATTGGTTAAATTACCAAAACGCTGTATTAAGACGTGTCATCGGCAAGACAAAAGCTATGCAGCCATGCTTGTATTGATAGCCCATGTTATTAAAGCTGATGTTCATCACAATTTGTTGATCCAGTAATTATTAAGTACGGCATGACTTGTGAAATGCAGGGTTTCCAGAAATTTTTGCGTTGTGTATCATTATATTCCCTTGCTTCAGTATGTTTGTGACTGACCATCGTTGACTGTGGCGTTTAGAGAACAGTAAGAAAATCAATTAGGTTAACGGTGTAAAATCTCTGTTAGTGATAAATGCGTGTGAAACGTGGACGAAAAGAAGTGCAGTATTAAGAATTGAGGCTTTTACAGTGACAAACGTTATACGATCATCTAGGGCTGTTTATCCTCTACTCGATTAAACTGCATTGTGTTACAGAGGACCTGAATGTTGGTGTTTTTGTGACTTTCTGCACATTTGCCATCACTCTTCTAATGGTTTTTGGCGCTGTGAAGGGGAAACCATCGTATCTGATGCCATTTTTCTGTCTTCAGGTCTTTGACTTCTGTATTGCTAGGTAAGTGTGTGTCTTGCTGATCTATGCGTTTCAAGCATTTTACTGATGTGATAGCAAATTTTGATATTTAAACTAATTTTGTGCACCAAATTTGTGTGCCCATGCTGAATATCGATCACAGCGTGTCTGTTTCAGCCTGACAGCGGTGGGGTATCTTTGTTATCTGCCAGACATCCATCGTTTGGTTGCAGAAAATCCTCACTTACCCTTCCAGGAAGAATTGTTGCGGCTGAACCCTCAGTGTCTCTCACTTCTTGTTCTGTTTACGTTCATGGCAGCAATGATGGTTAAGGTTGGTGGAGCCTTAGCGCAGTGCACATTAATACCTGTCAAAGTGTAATTAGATGAGACAAACATTGCATAATGTGACCTACTTTTAAAAAAATAGTAATATTTTTCTGTGTCAGTACTTATGTTTTTTATGAACGTTACTATTTCAGACCTACTTCATTGGGGTAGTGTGGAGGTGCTACAAGTACCTGAGTCTCCGCATGGTAGCAGCTCAGAGAACCATTCATTACATCGACCCAGATAACCAGTCGCTGCTTCCGGACCTGCCTGATTATGAAACTGCCGTTGGCGATCCTCGTTTTGCCGCCAAGAAGTTCCCGACTCCCCCTCCTTCGTATGCGAGCGCCACTGCGGCAGTCGTGGACGTCGCCGAGGAATCCGCGGTTGTTGCCGTCCCACCTCAGGCCCAGCCCCAGCCACAGCCGCAGCCACAGACCGTTTCTGAACGTCCTGCCGCCTGAACCGCAAGAATCACGCGCGGCCTGTAGGATGTCACATCGTTGTGCAGTAGGTGTGATAATTATGTCTTACAGAAAAGTTATTCATTATCTATTCTTTAA